TTTAAAGTAGCCAACTCAGTTATACGTCGTCGAGCTGCTGTTTTTGGGTCATTAAATATAAATTTGGGTCCCCATTTTAATAAATCAAATAGAAACAGATCAATCTATATCTCTCAGATACAAATCAATCTGCTAGTCTCAACTTTTGCTTTTCAGCAACCGATGAAGTCGTATTTAATTTGAAGATTTGAATATTCGTGCTTTATGAAATAATAAAAAGAGAATGCAGAGTTTAATTTCGCCGACGCGTTTCATGTTTATTTTATTGAAATAATGAAACACTCATCAGGGCTCTGCATTACATTAAAAGCAAAAATCAAAAACTAATTTTAAAGATAGAAATTAAAAATTAAGAAGCACAACAAAATCAGAAAAAAATGAAAATTGAGGAGCACAATAAATGGTAAAAATTAAAAGACAGAATAAAGTCAAAACAAGAGTTATTCAAACAATAAAACTGCAAGGCATGATATTATCAAGTATACTAATATCATTTATTTATCCATGAAGATATACTACTGATCTGTCTAAAAAGGGCCATCATCGTACATACATTCAATATCCAAGTTGGAATATAGATTACCAATAATTCAATTCCTTATACACATAGAAAGATATTGCAACAAATAAACAATGAGAAGTCAAGTTGATTAATAACTTCTATTTGATGAAATATATAATTTCTTGTTGCAAATTCAATATAAAGTGCATTAATATCAATTCAATATAAGGTCTATTAATATTAATTCAATATAAGGTCCATTAATGTCAGTTCATATGGGAATATTACACAGATTAACCACCGACTTGTATTTGATAAGCTTTAGTAATATCAATATCTTCCATTTCCAGTTGTCTAGGAATTTCATCGTTATTAATACATTTACCGTCGATATATTAGTACATTATATATGAAAGTATAAATTATATCACTGAAGATATAGATTATATCATCTAAATAGTTAAGATATCATCGACTGGTTTATCAAATGTATAGGTAATTAATGTTTTCACATCTAAATATTTATTTATTTCAGGTTTTATTACATGACGTTCATTTTTTGGACTTCGCACTTGTTCATTTTGATTTTTCAAATAATTCTTAACATCAAATGTTGACTGAACCACATTAATTATCAGTGATTCAATTCTTTCAATAAATTCTATTTGATGAAATATATAATTTCTTGTTATAAGTTTAATATAAGATCCATTAATATGACTGAACCACATACAAAATTAACCATTATCAATAAATTGTATAACACTTTTCAGCGCTTACAGCGCTTACACTAATTGATTGTTGTTGTCAATATATTAGTACGTGTACGTGATGGTGAACTTTTATATATATATATGTGAGGTATGTATGCCTTGAATTATAAAAATTTAATTAATTCATAACCGAATAATATACATATCTCATTTAAATAATATTTGTTAATCGTCTCTGTAAATTTTTAACATTACGGGTACCAAGTATAGGTCGAATTTCATTAATCGGAGATTCACCAAAATATTTATTCCATATTGTATGAAATTTCAAAGGAAATCCTTTCATACTTGAACAATAAGTAATGTGAATAAACATAACTTTATCATAATCAATTTCTATAGGTTCTGTATAGGGTGAATCTAACACATTCTGACGATATTTATTGTAATTAATAGCAGTCAATGGTTGATCAATATCGAATCTTAATAGAACATTATTAAACTGTTGTTCAATAATTTTATTCGGATATCTATTAAGTAATAAGGCCATTCTTAGTTTCTAACGTTCATCCAAATATGTTTGAAATGTAGAACAATACTTAATTGCACGAAAGAGCATTGTAAATGGTATGTTCTTTTTCATATGTAATGGATGAATACTATTAAATGGCAAATAATATGGTTCATAGGATGGTTTTTGATAAACTGTAGTAAATAGAACACCATCTCGATTCTCCATATATAAATCAAGGAAAGTCGTAAATGAACCAAGATTTGCATTTAATTTAATATTCTCGTCGAATTGATTCCAAAGTTCAATTTGTTTCATTAAATGTCGAACAGGCCAATTAATAACTATAAATAAATCATCAATATACCGAAAGTAGAGTCCACC